GCCCAGAGGAGGGAGAAATCCAGCAGCAGCGCGGTGGTGAGCGTGGGCCCTGCAGCGTGTAGTAGGTGATCATGGTGCAGGGCAGTACTGGGCACAGAGAAGGTTCTCAGAAATCATGGTAACCCGTGGTTATTTGGTCACATCCCAGACCCTGACCTAGCACTGGCTGGCACTGTGACTTGTCACCCTCCTGAATGGAAGAAGTGTCCACCTGGGGGTGGCCGAGGAGGTGGATGCTAGGGGACTGCTGGGAGCTATGGACCTGCGGAGGTTGGGAGAGGAGACTGTAGGTGCAGGCTGCTGGAGGCGGGGAGGCCTATCTGGAGCACCAGGCAGTACAAACAGGTCCCAAGTGGGGCCACGAGGATCAGGTTAGACTTGGGACCCGAGAGACACGTCATGCCCACTGTGCAGGTGCCACCTCATGTTATCCTGCACCAGGGGAGGGGCCAGCCCAAAGTACTGGCTGCTGGCAGCATGCCCGTACAGCTTGGCATCCGGGTCTGAGTTCACATGTCTAGCAAAGCTGGGAAAATCCAGGAGCAAGAAGGTGAAGCCCTTTGGCTCAGCCCGAGCTCAGAAGGCCCTTGCCCGATGAGCCGAGCTGCTGACAACAGCCTGGCCCTGGGCTTGGGGACTCTGCTGGAGCATGGAAGCAGCGAACTGGGAGCATGGAGGAAACTGCCTGGCAGGGGCAGCTGCCGTGGAGCTCACCCTCCCTGGCTGGGCTGGTGTCTGTCCAGTGGGGTGACCCTCCAGCCTGTGGTTTCACCACCCCACCCCCTCTCCCCCCCACAGCACAGGCAGAAGCAGCAGTGCGACAGGAGACCACCTCACTTGGGGCCAGGAGCAGTTCTGGGTGAGGCTGGGTAGGGTCTTTGCTCCCTGCGGAATCAAGGGCTGGGGGCTGACCCAGCCTTTCTCCCTGACTGCTCTGATCTGGGTCTGGACCAGCTTCTTCAGGAAGGTACCATTCTGTTGGGGTGTCTAACATAGGGTCAGCTCTAGGCTCAGCCTCTGTGGCCCCCACAAAAGCTTGGCAAGGATGGGGTGAGGGGGCAGTGGGGCCCGCATGCAATGCCCTGGCACAGGTGTGTGGTTAGTGACCTGAGGCATGAAGGTGTCTCCCTGCCCACCCCAGCCCTGCTGATAAACCCCAGAGCAGCATGGCCTGCGTCAGAATGACCGGTAGGAGGGCCCCAGGGTAGCAGCTGCCTCTGTGTGGAATATGATTTTTCTCAACACCTTACCACAGAAGGCAGTTTGAAACTGGCATCAGGCCAGAAAAAGGGTAATTTCTGAATGGACACTTGTAAGTGGTTCTTTTGTTACTCTGCCTCTTCTCCCTGCACAGTAGAAGGGCATGGGTTTGAAGTTCCTGAAGGCTCTTGGAGATGGAGCTCAAAGAGGAGGCAGTGCTACCCCCACGTGACTGCAGACACGAAGAGCTGGGCTGTCCTGATGCTGCAATGGTTGGGGCCCCTGGCTGAGTGCACCTGCCCCAGGAGGCCCTGCGTGGTTTCCCAGTAGCCCCTTTGCACTGTACCGCAGTGAGAATGCCCTTGGTCTCCTGCCAATCCCATCACACCAAGCCTTTTCACTGTTGGGTTTCTGGCACTGCCCGATCCTGGAGGGTACCTGGCTGTATCTGTGAAGAGCTGGTGCAGTAGGCACCTGTGGACCCTGCTACCTGGGTACTGACTTCCTGCCTCAGCCACAGCCGCACCCACATGCGTCAGGGGCTACCAGGCCCACCCTGGCTTGGGCCTGTTCCTCCCTGGGTTTCCTTGGGATCCAGTCATTGGAGGGCACGCTGACAGCCGAGCCAACTTGACACCCCGGAGCCCAGCCAGGGAATCAAGCAGCTCTCCCTCTGGCAGCATCCGAGCTGCACGGGCCAGGCCTGCCTCCCCATTCCCTCGGCAGGGACCGGCAACCGCAGCCACGGTCTTCTGCACTGTTCTAGACTGTGCTGCCTAGGGCTGGTGTCGCTGGACGTCATTCTTTTCTTCCCAGATAGTTGCAAGGGGCCCAGCAGCCACAGCACTTCAAGGGGGCCCTGCCCCTCCCTTCCCATTACCCCACCAGGGTCATCTTCCCTTTTGTCTCCTAAAGCCTGTCAGGCAGCAGAGGAGCCAGGCCCTCCCCTGCCAGACCCTGAAAATGCCAAGCAGTAGACAGCCCTGGCTCCTTCAGGGGCATTTATTTCCCGGTCAGAAAAGGAGAAGCAGGGACAGGTGCCTCTGCCTGAGCCTGGCAGACACAACATGAAGACCAGGGACGGGGTCGGGGAGGCACAGGAGACAGCTCTCAGCAATGTGTGCACTTGGTCCCTTGTTTGTTCTTGGCTGGGTCAGGGAGGGCCTGCTGGGGGTGGTGGCACCGAGAGCCTGGGGAAACAGGCGGCAGGCCAGCGGCCCAGGGACAGCGCGGACGGAGGCAATAAATACTGATGGCCAGGCAGGGCTCCTGGCTGGGCCCAGGTGGGGTGAGTGAGGCTGTCCATTGACGGCTCTCTAGGGGGTGGGTTCTGGGCGCTGTCCGCTGAGACAGAAAAGGCAGAGGCAGGACAACACCCAGCCTCCTGGATGGTACTGAGGTGACTTGAGTTTTGGCAATTTGGCTTTCCCCAAGCCGCTGGAGCCATCTCCACAGTCCTGGCCATGGGAGGGGGCAGGCTGGCCAGGCACTGGTGGGCTGGGGAGCAGCAGCAGCACACCCCACATGTCCCTGGGTCACTGGGTTTGCCACCGGGGAAGGGACGGGGAGGCCACATGCTCATGCAGACACAGGGAGTTAGAGGCTAGTGAGGCCCCACGGCACACTCCACATGTTAAGGCATCATGGTTAGACGGGACTGACAGCGACAAAGGGGCTGGCCAGGGAGCAGCAGGGCTGGAGGATGGCCCGGCCCCCACAAGACCCTGCATCCCACACCCCAGCTCCACCACGGAGCAGCAAACGCACACGTTTGGGGCAACCACGGGGCCTGGAGAATGGCTGCTCCGCTCCTTCCTTAAGCCAGGCCTCAGGTGTGACAGGGAGATAGAACCTGGGGGGCACGGAAAGGGCAGCAGAGGCCTGGCTGGGGCCTCTCTTCCCCCACAGCACAGGCAGAAGCAGCAACGACACACAAGACCACCGAGGAGGCTGGGCCTGTGGGCGGGGGAGGGTCGAGGAGGGGGGTCGGAGGCACTCGGTTGAGCCAGGCCAGGGAGGCGGACCAGGGTGGGAGGGGCACGGAGGGCCTGTCAGCACTTTGGTACGGGGAGGGGAGGGGCTGGGGGGACACATCCGCCTGTCCGTCGTCCGTCCGTCCGTCTGCCCTGCCTGCCTCTGGCTGGGCTCAGTCCTTCCAGTCCTTCTTGATGGTGAGATTCCACTCCCAGGACAGGTGGTCGGTCTTGTCGTCGTCTGTGAAGCGGGACTTGATGCTGTAGCTGCCCCGGGCCAGCATACCCTTGGGTGCCTCCTCCACGGGGGTCAGGAACTCGTACTCCTCGGCCCGAGGCCCATAGCTGCCCACCATGTAGTCAGTCTTGTCAACTGCGGCACAAGGCAGAGGGCGGTCAGCGGCCCTGCGTCCCCGCTGGGCAGCACGCACCCAAACGGCCCCCTCCGCCCTGCCCGGGGCCCCACTCACTCTTGACGCCTTTCCTGTACGTGTGCTGGATGTACTTCATGCCGGACACGATCTCTCTGTTAACCTGCAGGACCCCAAGCGAAGATCAGGGAAGGGCGGCCCCAGTCCCGCCTCCCTCCCTGGCCACAGCAGCCGATCGCTTACCCGGAAAGAGATTTTTATCCGGTACTCTACACCCTCTTTCAGCACGAACGACTGCTTCTTGAAGCTCTCCAGGTCACCTGTTGGGGGGACCTCTCCTTCAGTGACTGCCCAGCAGCCCCGCGCCCCCAGCCCTGCGCGGCCCCTTGGCTGCACTTCCCGAGACCCCCACCAGGGGCCGCCCGAACCCCCGCAGCCGCAGGGCGCTCACCTGTCAGGTCCAGCTCCAGGGGGCCCGGGGCCGAGCTGCACACCAGGGTCAGGCCAGTCACGACGACGTTGGGGACGTTGGGGTCTGGGGAGTGACAGGAGGTGAGGGCCTCACCCCCGCCAGTGGAAGCAGGGGCTGGGGAGCGGCAAGACAGCTGCAGTGCACGAGTGGTCACCGGGCTCCCGCAGCCCAGACTCACCTGCCGAAACGGCCACGCGGCCCAGCAGGGCCTCCTTGTACTTTCGCAGGCTCTCGTCGTCCTTGTCCAGCTCCTGGATCTCCTGGATGCTCTTCTGGGCCGGGGGCTTGTAGTTGACCGAGTGCTCGTCTTCCTCGTTCTCTGCTGCAATCTGGGCCAGCTGCTCGGCTGTGGGCTCCTGCTCAGCCATGCTCACGCTTAGCCTGGGTCAGGACACCTGTGGGCGGGACGGTGGCAGGCCTTGGACCTGGATCCCCAACGGAAGCGCACTTTCTGAGCAGAAGCGTGGACTGCAGCCAGAGCTCCAAAAGGGCTCCAAGGGGGCCACCCCCGCTCCTCTCCTCCGCCCAACTCCTCCTCAGGGGCATCCTCTGGGGCAGTGTGAGGTGCCCCCACGCCAGGTATAACATCTGAGACAAAATGGGAACTGCAGCCGGTCCTGGGGAGAGAGGGCACACCTCCCCCTCCACGATGGAGGAGGCAGCAGCCCCCGGCATGCGTGGGGCGGGGCTAGCAGGCCCCAGACCCAACTGGCAGGGCCCACACTAAAGCCTCTCTTATGGGCTTGCTGCTCCTGAGCTGCCCAGGCCCTTGCCCTACCGGGTAACGGGGCTGGGTATCCCTCAGTAGGGATGCTCCTCTGGCCGTGCTAGTCACATGTAAACCTGTGTGGTCGGCTCATCCTCATCCTTCAAACAGGATGCCCCTGGAGCTCGGATGCTAGAGGCAGCCAGAACACCGCAGGGAGCCAACGGGGCACGGGGATCCTAAGTATCTCCGGTTTCTCTACAATGGTGTGAGTCTGTGACCTACACTTGGGAGCTACCACAGCCGCTCAGTACCGTCGGGCCCTCTTGTAGATCGGGAGCCAGGAGTGCCCGGGGCAGCACTGACCCGGCAGG